TGTATTTTGATACAATCATTTACAATGTCTTCAACCTAGGGCCAAATATAGATCAAGTATGTTCCATAAAAGATGCTCTTCTTATTATCTTTATTATTATTGTTATTATTGTTGTTGTTTTCTGATGATTTTTTTTTATTTATTTATTCATTTAATTATTTGGATTCTTTCTGTTTGATATTATCATTTCCCGAATCTTTTCTCTAAAACCGAAGTTAACTTAAGATTTTTTTCTTACGAAATGTATAATCATATTATTATTATTATTATTATTATTATTATTATTATTATTATTATTGTTGTTGTTGTTGTTGTTGTTGTTGCTTTCTTTTTCTTCTCCTTTTTACGGTCGTTAACGCTTGACGTGAAACCCCTCCTCCGGGGAGAATGGATCAGTAATCACTATTGTCAGTGGTAATCAACCACCTACCTTTTGATGTCTTTTCTAAATATGATTTTCCCCATTGTCGGCCATCTTATTTCTTATCTTCCCAGTTATTAATAGCGTCTGACCCGGTGTAAGACCTAACAGAAAATAAAAAGGTCAAAAGATCCTCGCCCTTTCTTCAACTATTTACCTTGGTGCCACGAACCGAGGGCCGTTATTTTTTGACCCCGCCCCGACATATCTACCCTAGAACTGGTAGCTGACCAAGATGATCGTCGGAAATTGTCAATCCATTCATGCTTACACCACAAGAGACAAGCCATAAATAACCAAGCTCCATCGTGTTATTCGGATTAAATATTGAATAAGGAAACACCCGTTGCTCAGTTTTCGACGTAACATCAGAGAAATAACCGAAAAATCTATTAACAATGACCCATAAGTAAACTAAGCGAAAGATGTTTATTTATATATATATATATATATATATATATATATATATATATATATATATATATATATATTATTGAATAAAAAAAAATATTAAAAAAATTAAAAAAATTAAAATCTTTAGACACACTGTGTTGTAGATTAATATTCTTTCGTTTTTTTATTATTATTTCATTTAGATTCCTCGACTAGTTTCGACCAAAATGGCCATCATCGGGAGGAGAAATATTTCTGTTTGCTGGTAGCAGTAAACTACAGAAATTAATCTTTTGCTGGAGAAAAAATATGTGTGTGTGTGTGTGTGCGTGCGCGCGCACGCGCGTGTGTCGGTTGCGATGGTTAAATTGTCGTTTAAATGATGCAAATATGAAAATAACACTGACATCTGATTTTAACAGATATATTTGCCAAAATATATTGAAATAGTAAAGAGTAAATTTATCCAGTAAAATCGCCATTGGCTTCAACCATTGCCACCAGACGATTCTGGAATCTTCTGCAACTCTTCTGAACTGTCTCCTTGTTTAATTTGGTGAATACTGCCATAATCCTTGTCTTCAGTTCATCTTTAGTCTTACTAGCAGTTTTGTTGGTATCTCGTTTAACTGCACCCCGCACGTAATAATCAAGGGGGTTACAGTTTGGGACGGTTAGGTGGCCAGATGTAAGGGATGGTGTTGTCGCAGAAATTGTCTGACAGTCATGACTGGATTCGCCTGTTTGTGTAGCATGTTGTAGTGTGCTGTCGCCAGACATAGATTCTTCCAGCAGCCATACTCTGGACCCAGGGCAGCACCACCTCCTCAAGGCACCTGATGCTGGTTTCAGTGTTGAGTTTGACACCCTGTTGAAAGATGAATGGAGGCATAACTTCGTCGTCACTTCAAACACCTTAGGAATCACAATTAGATTCATCCAAGTCTTTCCAAATCCTCTGCACTGTCCCCAGACTGACGCCCAAACTCTCTGAAATGGAGATTTCGGTGCGAATGTGAAGCAGTGCAGCATGCCGTTTCCAAATTACTAGCAGACTGATGGCGTCATTATGCGCTTTTTCCCACAGACGGTGCCCAAGTGACACTACTATAGTGTGCAGCCGACAAAATCAAAAACAAACAGCGCGCATGCGCAAAATTAAAAATACAAAATGGCGACAAATACACAAAGTATCAAAATACAGTGCTGTTCGATAAAAGTGACTCACCTGATCTTTTTACTAAATGTTCTCTTCTCTGATGAAACGAAAGTTGAGCTAAATTCAAAGGATAAGCGATCTAAAATCCGAAGAAGAAACTTTGAAAACTCGTTGAATTTAGCAGTAAGTACTGTCAAGCATCCGTTCAGTATAATGTTCAGGGGATGCTTTCCTTTTCATGGAACTGGTTTCTTAAAACCTATTGAAAAGACCCTCAGGAGCGAGCAGTACAAAAGAATTTTAGAGTCTTTTCTGCTCCCTTCTGCTGAAAGGGTTCAAATCGACACCATCAAGCTCATTTTTATGCAGGATAATGTTCCCTGTCACAAATCAAAATTGATGAAGGAATACTTTGATAAGAAGCAGGTGAGTGTTATGACATGGCCGCCCCAATCTCCTGACCTCAACCCCATAGAAAATTTATGGAGCAATGTTGCTCAACAGTGAGCGAAATAAAGGGTTCAGTT